GGCGGCACGGCGCGCGGGCGTGGACCTCTCGACCCTTAATCGACGCTCTTTGCTCATTTCTGCCCGCGTCAAGACCGCATCTCCCTCGCCGCCGCCCGCCGCACCTTGGGTGCTTCGCATGGCGATGTCACAGCGGCGCTGGACGAGCACGGCGGGTGCCCTTCGCGCCTCTGGCTGGAGTGGCGGTCGGCGGGCGTCAGCTAGCGCTCCGGAGCGTGTGGTGGCACCCAAATCACGATGGATGGGCCGCACGAGCCGCACGGCCGTTCGTGCAGGCTTGCTCCAGTCGACGTCAGCAGCGACGCCGGCCTCGCTCATGTCCGGCACGCACGGCCCCGCAAAGGGCGAAGGGCGGCCGCGGCTATGTCTCCCTCCTCGACCCGGCGGCACGGCGCGCGGGCGTGGACCTCTCGACCCTTAATCGACGCTCTTTGCTCATTTCTGCCCGCGTCAAGACCGCATCTCCCTCGCCGCCGCCCGCCGCACCTTGGGTGCTTCGCATGGCGATGTCACAGCGGCGCTGGACGAGCACGGCAGGTGCCCTTCGCGCCTCTGGCTGGAGGGCCGGTCGGCGGGCGTCAGCTAGCGCTCCGGAGCGTGTGGTGGCACCCAATTTGCGATGGATGGGCCGCACGAGCCGCACGGCCGTTCGTGCAGGCTTGCTCCAGTCGACGTCAGCAGCGACGCCGGCGATGGTCGGGCCGCAGGGTCTGTCTGCCCATTTGACCGCCTCTCCCTCGCCGCTGACCGCCGCCACTCGGGCGGCGTTACCTCGGCTATCCTCGGCCGTACCTCGGCTACGTCTTGATTATATCTCGGCTACCCCTACATCACTCCTGTCCCAGAGCGGCTCTTGTCTGCCGAGTATGCAGAGAGCGGCACTACTACCCACCACGCGCCCGTTGCAGGCTTATCGGCAGCGTGCGGCGGGACGCGACGACGGGGGCGTTGGACGAGGGCGACTACTACAAGCGCCTGCGAACAATGATTGACTCCTCCAACACCGATGGGCTCCTGAAGGCTCTCGAGCAGAGTAGATGAAGAGGAAGAGTTGACGCACCTCTCCATCGCATCCACTCGCCACTGCACCCCCCCCGACCCCCGCACTCCACGGAGAACATCCACCTCCTCCCCCCACCCTACTTGGCAGTCTCTGGCGCAAACATCACCCCCCCCCCCCCTAGCTAGGTGCTGAACCACTTTGTCTTGGATTTGCTGGTGCCATTTGCGCTCGAGCAGCGCGCACGCGGCTGCTCGTTCGCCGAGCTGCAGCACGCGCTGCGCAAGTATTGGCTCCCGTACCTGCATCAGTCGAACTGTCCGAACGTCACCCACTCCATTCTCCGCCAGATCTTTGGCTACTTTGGGCGCTCGGCACGGCGCAACGGCCTCGTCTTGCACAACGCCTCACCGAGCTTGCGTGGCATTTTTGCAAAGTGCGTGGCGCTCGACGAGCTGCAGGAGCTGTACGTCCTCCTCGTGAAGAAGCACATGCTCGCGCCGGGCTCGAAGCACATCCTCAATAGGCTCAACACGTACGCCTCGAACCTCGACATTCCGCTGCAGGTTTCAAATATATGGATATTAATTATCGGTGTCCTCCTCTCGGTGACCACCAATATCTCCCCATATCTCCCCTATCTCCCTTAATTAAGATCACCGCCTCGCGGTGACACCCCGTATCTCCCCATATCTCCCCGTATCTCCCTTGATTAGGATCGGTCGGTGTCCGCCTATAGGTGACCACCCCATATCTCCCCATACCTCCCCGTATCTCCCTTGATTAGGATCGGTCGGTGTCGGCCTATAGGTGACCACCCCATATCTCCCCAAACCTCCCTTTCACGGAACATTAATTATTAATCATCAATCTCACCCGCCCGTCCCGCACGTGCTGCTGCAGTGGGTGCCCTTTCTCGAGCGGACGTGGTCGCGGAAGCTCGGCCGTGCGAGTGCAAGCACGCGTGGCGGCGGGCTG